GTACTTGCATCTGTGAGCCTTCACTGCCTGCCCTCACAGGAGAGACACAGGTCTTACAGTCCTCTCTGAGGAGGTGGCATTCACTGCAACCTCTGCAGAAAGTACCTGCTTGCTGTGATGGGAATGCTGCACATCCTGTTGGTTTTGTTTAGTTTCAACAGGAACTCATCACCTACAGTGAAGCCACTGGGGGGCAGAGGGTGGGATGGGAGAGGAGCCTTGCACCCCGTTGGGTTTGGGTGGAAGTGCCTGGCTGGGGCTCTGCAGCAGGGGGCAGGGTTCTGTGGAAGAGGACAGGACAGTAGCACAAATTCAAGCTGTAACTCTACTTCCACTGGTATTATGGATGTTCTGTCATTCTGTTGGCTACAATCCCAGCCACCGAGCTTTTCTGAACATGTCACTCAGACTTTGTAAGTTGGGTTTGTTGAAGGAGTGGGTGGATAGGGAGCTTGGGAGGTTGGCAAACCATCTCTTTTTGGAGTAATGGGGTGGGGGTTGGGGGTGTGCTCAGGTGCTTGGCAGGATAATTAGGGTCTGGTGAACACAGGGTATGTCATTGCATGCAACCATACACATGCCACCTGCCCTCTGTGTGGGCAGTCTGTCAGTGCAACTGCAGGGACCCTGAGCTTTAAGCTCACTTGGCTCCTGTATGGTTCACTGACTGCCCTGACTTTTCATTTTGGGAGTCAATCCTGTATCTGCTCTCACTCTGTACCCAAGGATGGCAGGGTCTAGTTAAAGAAGGGCATGACTGGTCATTGTTAATGGCAAGAGCATGGAGGTCTAGAAGCTCTCAGGCCAAGCTTCCTCTACCTATGCTGCTGCCCCCAGGGCCTTGTACCCCACCCCTCTTCTTGTCCTCTGTAAAACCATGTGTGTCTGAGCTGTGATGCTCCATCGTTGGAGCAGGTGTCACACAATCTTGCCACCCTCCCACCCATGTGCAGTATCTTTCTGATCCGCAACACTAAGCAGTCTGCGAAAGAACCCAGGACACCCAAAGACTTGGCTGACTCAAGTTTGTGGGGACTGAGCGCTCCCTGGAAAAATGAAACCATGCAAGCATTTTCCTTCTGGCTGTTTATTGTGGGATGAAGACGAAGCGCATTGGCTAGAAATAGCAGATTTCAAAATGCCAGAACAAAATACAAGGTTGCAGATAAGATGGGATTCCACAAAATCTGGACACTGAAAAATCTTCACAGGACAGAGTGTGTAGCTTTTCTACAACAAACACTTACATGTAAGTGATGATAACTGCACATAAGAACCGTTAAAGACAAACCCCAAATCAACTCTTCATGATTATAGACCCCCTCCCCCAAGGCATAGAGCCTTACATCAACAGGAGCACTAAAAGACTCAAGCAGTAATAGTCCCCTTCCCCTGTGGGGGTGCCACGGAGATGAGGCAAAGCTGGGGCTCTCTCTTCCAATTCAGGCAGAGCCCGATTCTAGCATTCTGAATTCTAGCAGGTGGCCCGATCACCCAGCGCTCAGCTCAGGGGCCATCTTGTCCCCTGTCTTGCTAAAGAGCTTGGGTAGCCTGCAGGTGGTGGCTCCGGAGGGGACGGCAGTTTCTGCAAAGGCTCATCATGGAAGAGTGAGTAGGCTGGGAGGCTTGCAAAAGGAAATTAAGACTCACATTAGGCGATAAAGTTTGTAGTGACAATGAAAACAAATGCCCAAATGGCTTTGGATTTGGCAGTCGTTGGTTGGCACAACACATCTGGGTCACTTACACCTCCACTTCGTTTACTGCAACAGAACCATAAGTGACTTGGTCACTTGGCTTATGAAGGTAGCACAGTTGTGAAGAACACAGTCTGCATTTTGTAACAATGGATCATCAACACAAAACAATGCATAACAAGTGCAACTTGGAATACAAAAGCCGCCATTTTATTTACAAAGTCACAAAATGAAGCATGAGTACTTCGTCATTAATGTTTAGGAAAACCATTTACAAAATCTCAGATATGTACAAACAACTTCAAAATCACCAGCTATCAATTTCATCACAGGTCAGAGGGATGTGCTAGGGGCAGCTGTAATGAGGCCACACACGTGGCTGTCAGGGACCACTTACATATTGGCTGCAATTGCTACTATTTCCCAGACTGATGCCATTATAAGGGCACCCTGCTCTGATCTAAGGCCCCCCAGCATCCTGGGGGAGTAGGCAGACTTTCTGCACTGTAGCATTTTGGGCAGTAGCATGCTGTTCCAGAATATCATCAATTAGCCTTAAATTGCACACCCAGTCTTCATCCAGGCTCATGCTGGAGCCTTTCAGGAGTGCTTCGATGAGATTGACATCACTGTGGGCAGCTGGTGACAACAGATTAGTCACTGGGGGCTGAAGCTGGGGCAGCAGGTACTCTGGGGGCAGCTCAGGGTGGGCATCCCTTCTGTTGAGTGGACCAGGGCATTGGCTGGCAGTGGCAGTGGAGGCAGCTTTGGCGGCAGTGGAGGCAGCTTTGGCAGCGGTGGTGGCGGCAGAAGTAGCCACGTAGCTTGGTGGTGCCATGCCCCTTGCAGGACTTTCAAAGCTGGTCATGCCCTGCTGGAAGGATGCAGCAGTGGTGGCCAGCACAGGCGCAGGACTCTGCCAGTGGCTCTGCTTGCTCAGCAGGTTGAAGCCAGAGTCATCCACAGCAGCAGTCACCTTCTGGCCAGGCCTGCCTTCCAGGACCATCTGATTGGGGAGTACAACAAGCTGCTGCGATGGAAACATGGGGGCCCCTGGGGGCATTTTCCTGGGTGCCTGGGCAAGGATCCAGTTGTTTCCCAAATACTGCTGCATGCTGTTCCCTACTTGGCTCTGGGCTTTTTTCCTTGAAACTGCTGTTATCACAGCTGGTGACACTGGCACCCCCGGAACACTGTGGAACACAGCAGACATTCTGGATCCACTGGGCTGTCCGAGCTGGTGGGGAGCCACAGATTGGCTGCCCAGTGCATCAGGGCTGAACCCTGGTAGGGGCACTCCTTGGGAGGTGTTCTGGGGACTTGGCGGATAGTGGCTGGCAGAGCCAAGACTATCCAGGGGGTTCTTGTCTTCATGTGAGGGTATAGGGGGCTGCGATCTGGAGCTGACAGCCCCTTGCTGCTTCCCAAGAGTGGGTGAGATGGCATTCGTGCCCTCAGGGCTTGGGCACTTGGCGGGTGGTGCCATGCCTGGAGTCAGACCGTTCTGCAGAAGCCCACTTGCGGGTGGCATTGTGTGCTGCTTGGATTTGGGGCTTGCTTTAGGCTGGCTATGCTTGGAGGTGACTTGTTCTTGGACAGCTGCAGAAAGAGAGAAATGGGGATCAGCTCCAAGGGCATCCCCAGCTTCGGCCATTGTCATGGAGGAGAGCCATCAGCACAGCACTGGCCGCATCTCACCTTCCCTGCAGCACCTCCTCTCCCCTGCCACTTCTCCAGCTCCTCTCACTTCTCTGCCCTCAACCTGGACTGCTGCCATTCACAGCTGCCCCAAGAGTCCCATTGTCCAGTGCCCCAACCTGGACTATGTCTGTTTTCATGCTTGCTGCTCTGTGGGGCCTGTGATTGGCCACCCTTTGACAGGCAGTGCCTGTTTTATTCACGAACGGAGGATAGACAGGATGGGGCTTGGACAGGCTGGGGGCGAGAGGAAGAGGCTCTGCTTCTGACTCCAGACAGGGGGAGATGGGCCTCAGTTCCTTTGCCAGTGGGATGGCGAGCGTGAGAGAGTAAGTAAAAGAATTGTATCTTGTCCTTCCCATAGCCTACATCTGGGGCTTCCAGTCCAGCTCTGGGGCTCAGACCATGTTGACATCTTGAGTTCTGGAGCACCCAGGGCTGGTGTGCTACAGAGCAGAGGATGGCAAGTAGGCCCACCAGTGCCTAGCGTCAGCAATACAGGAGAGCCCATGGCAATAGCTATCCCCTGGTACCCATGTGGGAGTGGAAGCCGAAGAGGCGCACAGCAGTCATGTGCTTTGCCCAAGATCAGGTTGGGGAGAGCGCAGCCCATTTGCCCCAGCCCTGGAGTCTGTGCCAGATACAATAAAGCAGGGCTTTGCTCTTGTGATAGTGTCTGGGTGCCTTCCTGCTCACAGCAGCTTCCGGTTTCCCCAGCTGAGCCCCTGAGACCACTGGGGTTCCGGAAGCCTGTCTGCCTTGTCTTAGCAAGTGGAAGAGTGCACCACTCTAGCATGGCAAGGCGGAACACGGATGTGATGCTGTCAGGCCACAAGGGAGAGAGGCTTTTGACAGAGATTGGAAGGACGATGGTGTGGAGCTGTTGATTGCCTCTCTGACGGCAGGAAAGCAAACGCTGAGCACTCCCAAGAGGACCTGTGGGCCATTGCCTTCTCACCCCCACTGACTCGGAAAACTTGCTCAATTCCTGTCTCTGGCTAGCTTGTGCGGTCCAAAGGAGAGAGGGACCCAGAGATCCTGTCTGGCGCTCCCCCTTAGCTGCTGGATGCATCACCTGTCCACGTGGCTGCCATTAACAGCTGCCCCAAGAGTCCCCACTGCAGACGCAGTGCCCTTGGCTTTCTTCGCAGCCGCCACAGTGTTGCCATACTGTGGGACCCACCAGCAGCAAAGGCCACTACAGCAGTGCGTGAGTGTGTGCGCGGGAAGGGAAGGGTTGGATCGGAACTCTGGGCTGTGGCAGCCCCCAGGGTATTCTGACACAGGCCTTGGGGGCTCCTCCCCACTCCCACAGAGAAAAAGTGCTTTCCAGGGGCCTGCCTCTGCAGTGCAGTGTAATGAGCTGGCCCTCAATGGGAATCCTGCTTTGAGAGCTGGAAGAGCTGCTTTCAATGTGTGAGTGCCAAGCAGGGCACTGGTTACCTGAATTTACCAGCTCTCCCTCTCCTTAGAGGCTCTCAGGATCACGGAGAGCAGCAGTTTACTCCCGTCGAAGCATGTCCTCATTGCCCCTTCAGGAACAGTGACCTTGACCTCTTACCTTGAAATTGACTCATCTGTTGGGCGATATATTCACTTCGCTGTTCAGGGGTCATTGCCATAAGACCTGATCTCTGCTTCTCTTGCTAAACACAAGATGGAAAAGCCACATTAGATTACAACTACCAAGACATAGTTGCTCAAGATTACTGTATAGGGACCTAGGACTTGGCTTTGGTGTAGCAGGAAGCATGAGTGAACACATCAACACACACGTGCATGCACGCCCCTCCCTTCTGAGCAAAATTCCAAAGGTATAAATAAAAGTAGGCTTCCACACCTGGGTTAGAACAAACAAACAAACAAACAAACTGCTGCAGCATAGAATGGGCAGGGGCGACAGAACTTAGTAGCAAGAGCACACAGAGCAAAATGTCCAAGTGCTCAGGATGCGTCAGCAGTGACATGTGGACACCAGAAAAACAAATGGCACATTAGGCTACGTTAAAGGAAGCACATGTGCACAAACAGGGAGGTGACAGTCCTGGGCTAATCTGCCCTGAGTGTGCCAGTCCCTGGGAGAGCCAGACAGACTGGCTGTGCAGAGGAAGAGAGGCACCGGGAGGAACGGTTGAGCTGACTCGGGACTGGAGGTGCTTCGGCTTGTTCTGCTGGTCCTGGCCTGAAGGGCAGGATGAACACAGGCTCAGGACACACTTCCCAACACACACTGGCAGCCCGCTTCCCTTCCTTATCCTGGCTGGCTGCAGCATGGGAAACCGGGAGGAGCTTCCTGTCTCACTTGCAAAGCTGGCTGACTGGGCAAGGGGAGGAACCAAGCCAGGCGGGCTGAGCAGTGGTTTCCTGGGGCAAAGGGGAAAAGCAGAGCCGGGTGTGTGTGTGTAGGGGGTGGGGGGGGGATCACGTGAAGGACCCAAGGTCCCAACAGTGAGGCCTGGCCATCCTCTGACACTGGGATGGAGGTCTGATCCCCCAGCCCAGCACTCAGAGCCTCACACTCTGCTGCTGGAGTCGCACAGCCCCTCCGCTCACCTACTGCTATTTGTCGCCCCTCTCCAGAAGCCTGCTTGCCAGCATGCCAAGTGCTGAGGCAGCTCTGGCCTATGTACCTCTAGCTGCTCAAAGACTTAACCATACAGCCATGTTTCCCAGCAAAGGCTGCCCAGGCTGGTGTGGGAGTGGCAGCAGGAAGGCCAATGTTTGGGAGCACGCCCAGGTCTAAGGCCTGGCAGCAGTTCCTGGCCTCAGCGCCTGACATGGCAGAGGACAAACACTGGCACCACGGGGACCGCACCGTAAGCAGCTTCCCACAGCGAGACTTGCTTTTTCATCTATCCCACCCTTAGACTGCCTCCTGTCCTGGCTCCTGGCCCTCTTGCTGGTAGGCAGGTAAGTGGTGGTGCAGGGCATTTCTGTGGTGCCCATCGAGCTGCCCTCTTCCTTCCAAAGCACTGCCTGGGGTTCCTTGGCCATTTGGAGCCTGTGACTTCATGTCATTTCTCACAGGTATCACATTGCTGTGCATGGCCACGTGATCGCAGCACCCAGTTCTGAGATATTCAGGGCGGGGCCCAGATCTGAAGGCAGTTCCTCCACCTCTGTCCTTTCCCTTGAATGTTGACACCAGCCTGAGGTCATCAGGGCAGAAAACTGACAGTGCCCAGCTTACTGAGGTGACATAGGAAGCTCCAAACGTGGTTCAACAACTTGCCTAAAGCAGCATGGTTAGGTAGTACAATGGCGCCCTCATGGCAGGATCAGTGTTCTGGTTGCTTCCGGTGACTGGGTTCTTGTGTGGCTGGCAAGGTCTGTCACTGACCCCAACTCTATCCCTACACAGTTGTGTTGGGGTGGGTACCAAGGGACAGATGGAGGCTGAAGAGTATGACTGAAGAAAAAGCAAGGGCGGCAAGAAGCATGCAAAGGGAAAGAGGTACGGACAAAGTCCACACAGGGGCCTGGACCACAGGAGGAGAGGCTGGGCCAGAGCCCACTTCAGAGGGCAAGGGGCCGACTAGAGGAAGAGGGAGCTCCCGGCCACAGCAGAGTTAAGGAGAAGACCGGCTGCCTCGGAGGCTCTTCTGAGGCCACGTGCAGCCCAGAGGGGCCGGAGCTGAAGGCAGAGTCTGGCCAGCAGTGCTGCTGCATGGCCTGCCAAGGCCAAAGCATGACCTTGACACTCAGGCTGCAGCATGGGTGGCCGGCTCTGCAGGCCTCCCGGGGGCCCCCTGCCAAGTCAGGACCCTTCACGGGCTCTCCCCCTGCAGCAGTGTCCACGCTCTAGCAGAGGGGGCACAGTCAGTGTCTCCAGGACTGCTGAGGAGGCTGCTTCCTTTGTTTGGCTGGAGGCTGCCATCCTTTGTTCTCAATCAGTGTGCTTCAAAGATAAGCCTCAAGAAAACAGTGTCTGCTTTTCGCTGCCACTGACCATTTGAGTTGGTGGAAAATGGAGCAAACAGGAAGTGGCAAATGGTTTCAGGGACGAGGAGGAAACTGGTTGGAAGTTGGTGCTTACTGACAGGACACTTGCTTGCTGCCCAGAGTGAGAGGGAAGGTGGGGGTGTGTGGCAGAAGCAGAATGATGGGAGAGCTCATCGAATGACCTCACTGACAGGTGGGTCCTGAGGGAGCCCACAGGTGCTTCTCCAGGGGGGTCACCGAGGGGTGGCCTCATGGAAGACCAATGATCCTGGCTGTTGTTCTGCCACACCCCTCACATCAGCGTTCAGTCCCCAGGCCACATTCACAGATGGCTCTCACCCAGCATGGCAACCCAGAACCCCCTGCTGACGCTCAGGACCTGTGCAGCAGTGCTCATGGGAGGCCCTGTGCCTCACGCTGGGTGCTGGACAGGAGAGAGCGGCTGCAGGCCTGGCCTGCCCACAGGCACAATAAAGGCCAGTGTGGGGCCTCAGCTGCCTCAGCTTCGCCCTCCACCAGCACATGATGCTGTCTCCTGTTCACCCAATGCGATTGTCTACATGCTCTCCTGTCACGAGGGAGGACAGCCAGCCCAGGCCCAAGGCAGTCACGTCACCAGGCATAGAGACTCTGTAGCTGTGAAGACGCGGGGGCAGGTGAGCAGCAGGCTTTATGGACAGAGGCCCACAGAGTCACATCCAGCTTTAGATGGAAGTGAGTTGCTGTGTGAGCTCCTGGAGGAGAGCACTGTGATGGGGAAAGGACACAGCCTCTGGGAGACAGTGGGGAGACAGCCACCAAAAGCCTGTTGTAGGCTGGGGGGGAGGGACAGAGACGGAGAGGGAGCAAGAGGTGGCCAGGACAGCATGAGTTTAGTTCCCCGGCCTAGTGCTTTGTGCAGGAACTCTGCCTTCTTTCCCAGCAGACAGTGCCCTGTGAGCATCCTTTCATAGGACCAGCAGCACAGGGCATCCAACTGTCTGTCCAAAGGCTCAGGGCTCTAGGCTGCCTCGTTTATTCTTCCATGGGGGGAAATCACCTTGCTTTGTAGAATCTGGAAGCCATATTTGGGAACATCTTGCCTGGTCTGACTTTTCCTTTCAAATGAAATAATAGGAAAATGGCACAGCATCTGGAGACCACTGTAAGATCAGAGTCTGGATTGCGGGTATTCCCATGTCCACATGGTTAGGGGCTCTGGAAAGCTATGGGATCTGGCTGCTTGTGGCTCACAGATGGAGGCTGCCAGAAGCCCACCTGGGAGGTGGCTACTGTGCACAGGACTCCGGAAGGGGCCTTCTGAAAGCACAAGGGTTTCCTTGTACATGGCGGGGCAGTTCCCATCGTTTCCTAGGTTCTGGCTACCTCTCCCAGCAGCTGACTTAGGACGCCAAACTGTTGGAAATCAAAAATATGCATCAGGCTACTTCTCTTCATGCTGGAGCCACAGTCTGGCATGGGACTAGCTGAGCTACTCATGGGTTCAACCTTGGCTCAGTGCCTTGTCTAGAGTGTAGCCAGAGGCACATGGACCTCAGGGACTAGGGGGTCGAGCTAATGGGAAGGCAGGGTCCACATGGCAGCTCACTCAGTGTCCAGATGTGGTCCACGGGGCACAGGACAGTGACTGTGTGCCTGTACTCTCTTAAAGCTTAGAGTAGACAGACTGACGGTCAAAAGCAAATAAGTTATGGAAGAGCATAAAGTTGAAAGGGTTGACAGGAGGGAATGCACGGGCGGATACCCCGAGTAGGGCCCTGGGAGGGTCACTGGATCCTGTCCTGCCACTCTTGCTGCTGGACCAGACCTTGCATAGTTTTGGCAGTCCTGGCTTTTCCCGTTCCGCTGCCCCTCCCACACCCCCAGCCCTGGTGTGGGCGAGGGGGCCTCTGCCATGGAGAGGTGGCATCTTTAGGTTTCCAGAAAGCTGTCCTGGGGGGTTCAGAAAACAAATGCCACCTGAAGCCTGTTGCAGAAGCCTTACCCTACCGCTGGGCAACCTCTATTCTGACTCCTCCCCAGTCTCACAGTTCCAGGGCCAGCAGTTCCAGAAGGGCATGGTTTAAATGCTGGTAATGACCCCCAGCTGGAGGAAACAAATATGCTTCTTTGTCCACTGCAGTGCCAGCATCCTCTACTTGTCACTGGCTCCAGGCTGCCTGCAAGGTGGCCGTGCCCAGAAGGAGCATTTTGTGACTGTGGGACCTGTCCCTCACAGCTCCAACCCCTCCCCACTGTGGGAGACATCCAAGGTTCTCATAGAAGCCAGGATTGGGGTGAGGGAAGGCCCACACATCTGGCCTGCCCTCCCCTGCTGGCTGAAAGGTGCCGGGTAGTGAAGGTAGGCAGGGAAGGGGCGTGCATTCTTGAGGCTGGGATCCTTTCCTTTGTGGCTTCCGAGGACTGGACAGCGACATCCTGTGTGGACGCCGGCTCCGTCTGTTTGGTTAATTCTGTTTCTCTGGCAGCATTGTGCTGGACATGTATTTCTCAGGTTTCAGCTGCAGAGTGCATTTCGGAGAATAGCTGGGATTCTGGGAGAAAGAGCAAGATCAATAGCCTTTGGATGGAAAACACTGCTTGTTCTTCCAGGCCAGAGCAAGCGGCAGGGAGAATCAGGCTGTACGTACCAAAGCTGAATTTCCATTAAAGGCCAAAATGCCGGGAGGCCTTGGCGGCTTGCTGAGCAGCTTGTGATCGCTATCGCTCAGAAAGGGCTCACTTCTGCAGCTTGCTCTGCACATAGGCAAGACCGCCTGTGCACACTGTTGTCTCCTGCACCAGCACGAGCATGGCCTGATGCAGATGGAATTCTTTGCAAAGGCTCACTCTGGCTAGTGCCCAGCATTTCGATCTCTAACGGGGCTCTGTGGGAACAGGCCAAACCATGGATCCCAGGCTATAAAATCTAGAGCTCAGTCCAAACACAAAGCCATCTTGGACACACTTGCCTTGTAGTCCTCCTGCCTCCTCTTCCCAGATTTCCAGTCCTCCAGTGGGACCATTCAACTTCCCAAAAGGGTATGGGGGTCCCAGGCTGGGCCAAAGAACAGTGTGGGGGTGCAGAGTCCATGGCAGGTCACTGGCAAGGGCTGCGATTCCTGAGCACCCACTAGGCATCAAGCAGGCAGCCAGTGGGTAGGGTGGGGGTGGCTCAGTGATGCGGGAGCACAGCCTCTGTCTGGCCGCAGGGCGGGTAGGAGTGGGTACCAGCTGCCGGGAGGCAAATGACAGGAAGAGAGCAATGGCAGCTTGTGTGAGGCCTGACTCTGGCCTGGAAGTGAGGCTGAGGCACTGGGAGCACTGGCTCCCAGTCGTTGTCCCTGTGCCAAAGAATGCCTGGGAGAGAGGCAAGAACAAGCAGGGTGAGAATGCAAGAGCTTGGAGGGTTGCACAGGGCCTGTTTCGGGGCTGTCACCTCCTGGGTTCCTCCCAAGAACGCTGCGAGGCAGGTGGGTAGGCAAAGCAGGTTACTGCGCCCCGCTGACAGATGACTGACGAAAGCGAGGCTGGGGGGGGGGGGTGGTCACTTACCTGCAGCAGCGCAGTTAGGCAGCAGCGGATCAGGCACCTGCCTCCAGGCCTTCGGATCCCAGCCGCCCCAGGGCGCTGCCTCTGAGGTGCTGTACGAGGTGACTCGGGCCAGCTCCTGAGCAAAGGAGCTGCTGGGCAGGAAGGACTCACTCCCCAGGGCCTGGCAGGATGCGGGCTGTCGCCCGAGGCTGACCTGGGGGGGTCTGGCTTCCCCCAGCTTGCAGGCTTTGTCTACATGAGTCTACAACAACCGATTGAACAGTCCATCAGCTGTGTGGCCACACCAGGCTTTGCACTGATTTGGCTACTGCCCTGACCACCCAACTGGGTTGTTTGGGTGTTGTGGTTATATACACCAACTAGTTTGGACAATAGGACCATACAGCTGTGTGGTCTCAGCATGTCTTGGGTTACATATTCCTCTGAGAATCAGTTAAAAGCAATGGTCTCTCTCTACCAAAAACCCAGTGTCTTCCCTTTCCCAGCCACCAACATCCCAGAACACCCATGGAAAGCATCCTCTGCCTTGAACAATCACTGTCTTGTGGAAAATCAGAGGCAAACTAAAATAGACAGCTGGTTCATTGGCAATAACCTCCATAAATCCTAACTGCTCCCTCCCTCTCCCTTCTCCTGCCCTCCCCCACACATCCCACCAAACACAACACACAACTCTATACTGCTTTGTAGGCATATGTGTGTAGACATATGGATGGGTGCAAAACCAAACAGTCAAGTATAAATGTCACAAAGGCCAAGTCACTACAGCCCTCACTGCGCATGCACCCCTTCAAATACTCAAGGTCTGCGGACTTGTGCATGGCTGAGCTCTTCCCTTTCCATCATGCTGTGGAAGCCAGGGATTTTACCAGAATGGCACATTATGATCCAATTCTTGTAGCTAAAGGCAATTAGAAGACGCCCCCCTCCATACTGATATCCATATGAGCAACAGCTTCAAAACTCAAACTCTGACAAGTGCACAGTGTGCTAGGCACCAGTGGTGTCCAGAGGGCTGGGGGATCGTGGTGTGCTCTTCGCACCTGAAGCAATGTCTGCTCTCGGGTATCAACTGCTGTGTGCGAGTTTACATCCCAGAGTCCAGGGAAATCCTCATCTCCTGATCTAAGCTACAAAGTTGAATCCCATTCCATTCATTCTGAGAAGTCCTGACTAGATACCTTCTGTGGGCAATCTCTGTAACAGATGCTAATCTGGAAGATATTTGGGTGCATGATTTCAGATAATGGTAGAGGCTGCCACCATATTTACTGAGTATTTGCTATGCTCTGGGCACTAAACCAAGTGCTTCCGATATATATGGTCTCACTGAATTCTTCAAAAGAGTCATATCCGAGGGATGGGCTGTCACTGTCCTTATTTTACTCATGAGGACACTAAGGGCACAGAACTATGTTACCCTAATCACACAGCTAGTTTGTAACAGAGTAGAATGAACACCTAGGTTTGTCTCATTGCTGGGTGTACCTGTCATTTGCCATGATGTGTACTGTGCACACGTCCTTACCATACAGAAGTTTTGAAATAAGAAGGTGTTGAAGTGAGCCTTTCACAAAACCACAGGCAATATTTTAAGAGTGGCAGAGGGTGGTGCCAAATTTTTAACAAAAATTATAAATTTTTAAGAATGAGAATAGAGGGGCTGGCGCTCTGGCATAATTGGCTAAAGCTCTGCCTTCAGCCCCAGCATTCCATATGAGCACCAGTTCCTGTCCTGGCTGCCCCACTTCTGATCCAGCTCAGCTCCCTGCTTGTGGCCTGGAAAAGCAGCAGAGAATTGCTCGAGTCCTTGTGATCCTGCACCCTTGTGGGAGACTCAGAAGAAGCTCCTGGCTCCTGGCTTTGGATCAGCTCAGCTCTGGCCTTTGTGGCCCTTTGGGGCATGAACCAGTGAATTGAAGAACTCCCTGTCTGTCCTTTCTTTTGTAACTTTCTCTCAACAAAATTAAAAGAATTCTTTTTTAAAAATGGGAACAGAAGGACAGCCAAAGCACCTGTAAGAGTTTTATACAGGAAACACGCCCACCCAAAACATCCAAAAGAAAACCAGAAACAAGCCCCAAAAGCAACTTAGCAAGTTTAGCTAATGAACTTGGGGTTCTTGTGAATAAGAGTTTCTTGTCATTCGGATATTATCTATTTGAAAGGCAAAGTTGGAGAGAGAGAGAGAGAGAGAGAGAGAGAGAGAGAGAGAGAGAGAGAGAGAGAGAGAGAGAGAGAGAGAGAATGAGTTCTTCTGCTGGTTGGTTCACTCCCCTTATTACAATAGCTTAGGCAGGTAGCCAGGAGCTTCTTCCAGGTCTTTCATGTGGGTAAAGGGGCCCAAGCTTGGGCCATCCACAACTGCTTTTCCAGGGGTCAGAAGTGCAGCTGTTGAGATTCAGACCACTGCTGATATGGGGTGGGCTGACATCGCAGTCAGCGGCTTAACTTGCTGCACCACAGCACCAGCCCCTTTCCTGGTAGTTTTTGGGACTGTAGAGGGCTCATGGCCCCTTTCTTGGTGGCAGTTCATTGGTATGAAGTGCAGCTCACTGCGTAGCTCTAGCCACACTTCATCAGACTGCACTATGTCCTTGGGGATAAGTCGCCTGGGACATGAGCAGAAATGTCTGTTCTACAAATATCAATTCTTTAAGGCTTGAATATCTAACTTCTCAATAATCTTAAACATTATTTTACAGACATATCAGAGTTTGAAAGAAATCCCACTGTGCAAATATTAGTCAAGATCTAATTACTCTCCTGCTCTGAGATGACACATTCTAAAAGCAACAGATGGGCCTTATGTGTAGAGAATGGAAGTATTTGAAGCTTTTGCTCAGGAATCCATAGTCACTCTGTGCAACTTATAGAATATTAGTGATGGGTCAAGTTGCACACCCCACCCCTCCATCAGTATTCACCTCAGCTGGCTGTGTCCCAGTAGCCCGGGAGACGGAACATACTGTAGGTGGCACACGGCAGCGACCCAGCAGTGTGGGCTGCTCTGTTTCGGCAGCATAAGCGAGAGTGGGCCAGGAGCCACTCGGACACGTGGAACAGGATGGGAGCAGACCCTTCGCAGACCAATGCGACCCCTAGAGAGAAAAAAAATGAAATAAGAATTTCAGTCTTGATTTTAACTGGGAGCTTTATAATTGATACTCAGGTGTTTTACTCATTTTATATAATTACCCCCAAAATAACTGCTTGTCACACACACACACTCTACCAAGTGAGGCCTAACTTTCAAAGAAAAGGTGAAAGATATTTCAACTACTAGAGGTTTTCAAGCATATAGGGAAATCCATTGCCGTCTTTGAGATCACTGAACATCTTAGGAAAGAAAGTATCTCAGTAATGGGTGGTTCCACATCATTCCAGGTTTTCCAGAATTATGCTATGGATGGATGGAGGCTGATCATGGTTCCCTAGTTCCTTAAGGATCCTGTGATTCCCATGATTACTAGAGAGCTTTTTGGAAACCTCCCTGAAAAGTTTTGCAATGGCTCACTCCAGACTAGTGATGCAAGCACATCCTGATGCAAGCACATCCTGCTGAACTCTACCACCGGGGAATTCTACTGCTTGGACTCTCATCCCCCAGGAAGCTAAGCTCTGGGCTCTGCATTGTCATGTACTCTATCTTGCAGTCACACCTATGTCTTCAGGCTGCCTGGTGTGGTCAGCTCTCTATGCTTTGGCTACTCGGTTTGCTCAAACCCTAATCTCTTTTTCTGAGCTCCTCCTTTGGAAATCCTCCATATCTTTCAAGATCTAGCTTCCCCACCCTGGGAATCCTGCCTCCCCTCTGAGGGCCAGTTACTGTGACTGAACATCCCTGGATGAAAGAATGTTCTAGCCAAGTCTTGATCACCTCTAGAGTTCCGTGGTGCCCAGCACATGCCAGGCAAAGACAAAGAGATCAAGTTAGCAAACACTCGCAAAACGTAGTCACCCTCATTATATCATCATCTTGGCATGATATCCAAGGCACTTGGGAGATTATAATCTAGTAAGAACTATGCTGCTTGTTCTTGGGATGAATGTCAATGATGAACTGAGCCTTTAGTCTATTTTAGTACATCCACATATCCCTTTTCAGTGCTGATGGGTTGGTAAAATACATTTGGAGAACAAACAGTGATCATAATCACATGGTGAAGATGATGACAGCTAACAAAGTTATGACACATGAACTGCGTGTTGGGCACTGAACTCCGCACAGAAATGCATTTGCGATAGAATGGTCCTGACTTTCTTGAAAACAAAGTGGCGATGAGTAATGTGCAGTATAGATTGAACTACAAAGCTTCTTCTGGGTCTCTCACGTGGATGCAGGGTCCCAAGGCTTTGGCCCATCATCCACTGCTTTCCCAGGCCACAAGCAGGGAGCTGGATGGGAAGTGGAGCTGCCGGGATTAGACCCGGCGCACATATGGGATCCCTGTCCATGTGAGGCAAGGACTTTAGCCACCAGGCTACCATGCTGGGCCCCCATAAAGTTATGTTTTAATTCTGCTTTTCTATGAACTTCTTGGAATATCCTCATAAAATAATCTATGCACTGCAATAACGTACCATACAACTTTTATCTCATTTAATCCCTCTGGAAAACCTGAAATGTGGGTACCATTATTTTTTAAATTGATTGAGTGCTAAAGTAGTGAGATGGAAATGGTAAAATGGGGGGAGAGAGAGAGAGAGAGAGATCGATCTACTATCCAGTGGTAGACTCACCCAGGTCTCCCATGTGGATGAACTGCTAAGGTTTGCATTAGCAGGACTCCAGATTGCAAGTGGAGGGGCTGGGACTGAAACCCAGGAACTCTGATAGAACATGCAGATATCAAAAGTGGCACCGTAATCCCTTTGCCAAATGCCTACCCCATATAGCTACCCCATATACCCCATATTAACCCCTTTTGATATATGACAAAAATAAGTTTTGGAGAAGTAAGGCAACTTGCTCAATGTCATGCGGTAAGTGGCACAGCTAGAAGCTGAATCTTGTGTCTAACAGCTAGGTTCTTTGTCATAAATGTTAGAAATGCTTCCCAGCAGAGCAATGTTCAAAGCACAGCCTTTTGGCATGTGCATATTTGCTCCATCCCATTCCCACCTCTAGTCCCCACATTCCCTCAGTCTCCTTGCTGGCTACAGTGAGCATTGCCAATGGGCCCTGGGTTCCCAAGGAATCATACAGCTGACTGTCCCCTTCCGGCAACCAAGGAAGGG